TGATTGTATAGTATATACTAAATAAATAGTTCTATCTATAATACTAATCAAAAATCTCATGTATTCAAGAAAAAGGCAAGAATAATTTAGTGTACCAGAAATTCGTAGAAAATGAACAACTAAAATTATCATTCTATTCAATTATTTTATTTCTTTTGAAAGCAAAATTTCAATCATTCACGTGATTGACCGTCCAATAATAATTTAATTTTTCAAACAACGATTCTATTTGAATATAATGTTAGGATTTTGAAATAGGCAGATACTGTCATAATAAGAATAAAAATTGTATACTACATGAATGATTCTAATCATAATTCTATTCAGTTGCTACCTGATCTTTCAAGAAAAATTGAGAGTTGATCTATGATTGATGAATATATTCCAAATGAATATTCAACAGCAGTATTCTATTCAGATATATGCTATGCTATAACAAACAATTTGAGATTCGCTTTGACCGATGAATACACCAAAAATGAATATTTTCAACCAGGACTCTAGTCAAATATATTCCGCCTCTATAGTTAAAATTCGAGATTCATCACAGTTACTGAATACATCTTAAATGAATAATTGCAATTATAATTCTGTTCAAATATTTGCACGGTTAATAACAAACCGAACAATTGTGATGAAATTAGTGTCTACATTGGTAATGACTAATTCTAATCAATGTTCTATTCCAATACTTGTTCATTGTAAAAAACAATAGAAAAGATCATTCAACATTCAATAAGTCTGTAGTTAATGTACATTTATAAAGAAGTTATTATTCGGCATTCATGTACTATTACAAAAAACTTTAAATTTCCAACACATAATTCATAAATATGAGGCTAGTGAATTACTCAGACAAATTCTTTCTTCGAATATATTCTTATTTACAACAACAGCAATCGAAGTGTATTAGCTGACAAGGAAATTCATAACAAATGAATGATTCTAAGCATCATTCTATTCAGATATTTTAGTGAATGTCATATATTTGACGAAAGCATACTAAATAATATAGATCATAGTTAAAATGAATGAACAATACGCTTCTCATAATATTTCTGGAGAAATCGCTTGATATGCTGGTCCCCAGTATTGAGAGTTATATCCTCATCTAGGCCATCAGGAACAAAGCGCGCCTTGCAAATCGTTGAGCATAAAACCATTAATGCCATGATGTATACGAGCATCTTGCTGTTAACCATTGTAGTTGTTTGTATTGAATGAAAAAATAAGTATTGTATGGTAGTATAAATTTTGCAATGATAGTCTCAGTCTTATATAGTCACCACAAAGTCAGGGGAGAAAGAGAGAAAGAGAGAGTATTAAATATATATCGATTTTTCTTTTTCAATACGAAGCAAGGCCTTTTCATTAGATAGGGATAGATACAAAAAACGAATAACTGAACTAGAAGGTTGTTAAAATACAATGACCTTGTTTTCTCTACATAAATACAAAGAATACGCTTGCAGTTTATTATACTGATATTGTTCTACACAAAAAAGGGAAGACTGAATTAGAAGGTTGTTAAAATACAATGGCCTTGTTTTCTCTCCATGAAAATGAATAATACACTTATCGTTTGTGTCAATATTATTCTACACATAAAATAATCCAATAATAAAAATATTGCTTTATACCGATGTGATTTTCGATTACTTTTTCATTGATACCTATGTTCAATGCTATGTAAAAGAAGTATTACTGATCTATCAATCGATTGTTTAGATTGATCGTTATAATAGTAATTCATGTATGACGAAAAAGAAAAGTGTCCTTAATATGAACGTATAGCTCACGTGCGACGAAAAAGAAAGTGTCCTTAATATGAAAGCAACCCATGCATGACGAAAACGAAGGATACATACAAAAAAATTAAACTATTGAATACCAGGAAAATGTTCAATAATTCAAATAATTTTGCATTTACTAGTAATCGATAATTCATTTAAAATGACTTTTTTTCAAATAATATTGTAATAAATAAATAAGTTTAAATGAATATCTATAATTATCCATGTATATTTCATAGATTCTTCAAATATATATTCAGTTTTGATAGTATTCTCATAGTTTCTTTACGTCGAAACAATTTTTAATGCAGTATAGAGTTAAGATGTAATAATAAGTCGTTGAATCATATGCTAATTAAAATGTGTTTTAATTAAAAAAGAATAAGTTAGTAACATACATTGACAAAGTTTATATTATTTAAAAAATAAATTATTATAGAACATAAAACTTAACTTTTCTTATTTCAAACAGTATTATTTATGTAACTATTAATCTTTTCTATTTTTGTAGATATTAAATAATATGATGCATTTAATAAAAAATTGTAAATAATAGCGATACAAAATATCATTATTATTTTCAAAAAATTAGATTTTACTTATTTTTATTGAGAAAATTATTTTCGACGTTTCGGCGTAGTTAAAAAGTCATTTTTCAGAATATAATCTTGTAAAAACTGACAAAGACCTAAAAACAGTATAAAATATAGTATGATAAAAGAAGAAAATACACATACATCTAAAAAATATAACAATCAAGTATGATATTATCAAGTTATTAACAAGGATTAAATTACATTAAAATTAAAATTTTTATAACTTATAAACATATACAGGACAAACTTACTAAAATAGGATGATATATAGACTTAGAAGGAGAGAGAGAAGGAAAAATTACAGATACACCAAACATACTTATAGAATAGATAGATAGGGAGAGAGAAGACTGTATCATATATGATCATAAAGAAAAACTTAATATTTAAACATATTTATCGATTGAAATTAGATAAGCAATGTTTGAGGAGACTTTCAGGTAATATGTATGAGGAAGTAATATGACTAGTTCTATTCAAATGCTTTCATTATCAAAGATTCTTTTATGAGTAATTTTTGGGCATTAATGTTGTTACAAGTTATTTTACTATTAAATCAAGTAATAATATGCTTCATCTTGTTTTGATGTTATAATAATGCTGACATATTTATGTTTTCTTTTTTTGTCGCATGTGTTACGCTTCTTGTTATTTCAATTACTATCCTTTGTGATAATTCCAACTGTAGTTCCTTTAATATTTTCATTATTTTTATTTTTCTTGTGTAACTTGCTTTTTATTCAATCAAATCTTCTACGTATGGTACTTTCTATTAATATTTTTTCATTTTCAGATTGATTTGCATTATTATTCTTAATATTATTGGTATTACCCAGAATGTTGATATAATGAACATTTCGATTTATAATTCTAGTAATTATATTGATTGTTGACTTTCTCTTTAATTGAAGATTTGTTTAATTTACCATTCAAAGTATTATTAATATTATTAGTTGTAATACTATTATTTATTTGATTATTTGGAAAATAAGATTTTTTATTATTAATTGTATTACTGTTTGTGTTGATAGATGTATTTTTAATATTTTGCTCTAATGAAATATGTTTATTACTACCATTTAATTTAGTATTAAATTCATTAGTTTTAGATCCTGGCGTATTTAATAAATATGATATTGTATTTAATTTATTCATTATCGATATATGATCTATCATTGTTATCTATTTGAAAATTTGAAGAATTGGATGTTTTATTATTAAACATATGTTTATTGATATTAGTAGATGTGTTTTAGAGTTTCGGGTAGTTATAAAATCAAAATTATTTATAGTATGTGTCTTTTCATCAGTTTTTGATAAATTTGGTTCATTATTTAAATTATTCTTGGTCGTGTTAGTATTACCAATATTATTGTTTTTCCAATTACCTAAATATGATTGTATTAATATCGATGCTAGTAGATATTAAATGGATATTTATTATATATAAATTTGTATTCAATTCACACCATATATATGCTTAGTATTTTTATCTTTATGTGTATTTTTTTCAAGTTATATTTCAAAAGGATTTGATACGTTTGCTTTCTTATAATTGTTTTTATTGATGATATTCGTTTCATTCTTATTATTTAATTGATAACGTTAATTTTACGTATATAATAAAAGCAATGCTCAGTCAAAAAAAGAACGCTGCTACGTACTACGATTGGACATACTTTTTCGAACAAAAAAAAATATATTATTTCTGAAAGATTTGAAGACAGGCTAACTACTCATGTATTTATCTCGATTTTGAGATTCCTGACAGAAACTGACTTTTTTTTATTAATACAGTATTTGTGAATCTTATGAGATTGAAGGAAATCAGTAAATTTAATTAAACTTCATTCTGAATAACTTTGGGATCATACCATTTTAGTAATTTAATAAATAATACTTTAATATATTTTCATATTTTCGACAACATGTAAGAAACCTACAATGGATTTATTGATTTTAGCTTTTGTATTTTGACTTCATCAAAGCAAAGTTTACTTTGTTCTCATCAGAAAAGTGAAATTAAATTCATATTCTAATAGAAAATTTTCAAAAATCATATCTTATTTTATTTCTATCTGCACAAAAAAACCAATGTACAATATATTATATAAAAAACTTGTTTAACGTGACAAATAATGTAATACTTATTATGCATGTGTTGTAGAATAAACTTATAAGTAATTCTTAGTTTTGAGAGTAAATGAACATTTTATAACTAATGTAAATGGTGAACTAACATCTTGTCGTTTGACATACACATTTCTTTTTCCGATTGATCAAAATTTCGAGGTCAATTTTTTTTCAGTATATGCTTAGAAAAGGGCACACACCGCAGTGAAGCCTCTATATAAATAAATGTATATGTAATATAGGACATATGAGTTTGAAGGAGAAGCAAAAAAAACCGAAGAAACAAGAAATGTATTCTTTTTTTTATGGAACAGAATAATGCAAGCAGGAAAGAAAAAGAAAATGAAGAATGTCGTACAGTGTTATATAAAAAAAAACGACAAGAGACCAAACCATCAAGGTTATAAAGGAAGAAGGAGAAAAAAAAGATCTTGCTTCGTTTCTTTTTTTTTAGTCTTGTATGTACACGTGATTCACTATGAGATGGTTATATTATTCGCAAGTTTTAAACACATTTTTACTTATTATAATTCTTTGTTCTTTTATTCAAGGTTTGTTTTTTTAATTGCAAATTCATATACTTATTTTTGTTAACATAATAGTTGATGGCAAAATTCGTCGTCGTCGACAATATCTCAGTAATAACTTTGGCGCTTATGCACTTGATCCTGCTGTAGTATCTTATTATGGAACTGGTGGAGGTGGTAGTTACACAGGAAATTCTCAGCAAAACAATCGTTTCATTGTCGGTGGAGTAGTCTATCAATACCCAACACCTGTGAATGTTATGAGTGGAGGTTCATACGATTCTCAACAATATAATGCTTATCTAGGTGGATCTGATAGTGCTTATTACTGTAAGATGAATAAATAATATTTTATGAAAAAAACATTTTGTATTGTTTTCTTTTTATAATAGATAATATGAATAATATGAAATTGCCAGCACAAGATAGATGGTATCCGGGTTATTATTTTCAAGGATATCCATTTCTACCACTTATAAATAATGCTCAGCGTCACGTGGAAATTTCAATCATTACTAAAGTGTTTTTTATAATTTTTACCTGTCTTATTTCTATCAGTATTTTGTAAAGACTTTTTTTTTATACAACATTTATATATATAGATATATATGCGATATAGCATAACAGTAAACCTGAATCATTCTTATGTAGTAGAAAATGAATTGAGTTTGATGTCATTATATATAAACAATTATTCGCTTGCCATTTATTGAAGTAAAATCCTAGTTGATGTGTCTGAAAATATATATCTAAGATATGATTTCAGTTTCTTTAATTTACCTTATTCGTCTTTTTATTTAACTTTAATATCAATTATGGCATACGTAAACATACAGATTTTCTATCGTAATTTTTGAAATAAATTCATAAAGTTTGTAATCATTTTATTGAAATAATATAATTCATATTTCGATGCTTCCATTTATGATGTGCAGATTGTCATTATCAATTATTTACTCTATCTATTTATTAAACTTTGTACTATATCATTAAGATGAAACTTCATTTATTAAGTACTCATGAAAATCTTAGTAAATATATTTAAGAGAGTATAATTTATTCATCAGTGGCATGCACTTCATAATAAGAAAGAACGTGATTTTTATGATAATTAATATGTTGTTCTGTTATATTTTTTTATGATATCGTATAAGAAATTCGAAGAAAAACACATCTTAATTCTTTTTATGTAAGTTGATAGTAAGTCATCATCAAAAATAAAATGAGACGCCTACATATGAGAAACTAGAACATCAATAACCTTAGGCAATTCTTTTATTATTTCTTACTTAAAGAATTGATGAAATATGAAAATATGATATCTGTTACAATTAGTATTCACTACTAAAAGAAATTTATTATTATAAGAAGTAATGCATAATTACGAGATATCTATCTTACTCACTTATGAAAGTTAATAACAGAAGAAAAGAATAATCTAAGATTGAAACACTATAATAAACATCCATCTTGTGTTTAATTCTTTTCTAGTTACTATTGAATTGTTTAGTATTGCCATCTGTCGAAATTTTATTCTAAGATAGATAAAGAATAATAAATGCACTATATAGTTTGTCATGTTTTTGTTCATTTTCTCCATCTCTCAAAGTTCATTAGTTATTTTGTCTCTCGGCAATATTTCTGTTCTTTGTCTCTGTCTATCACCATATCTCATTTATTGTCTTTCTATCTTTGTAAATGTCAACAGAATAGAAAGCAAATGCATATATAAATCCTCGTGTCATTATTTGCATTTACGTTTCAGCTTCACTGTGTATTTTGTTTTTTTCTTGCTTCATTTACCATCGACATTTGATTCTTTTTTTTTTGCACAGTTATAAGATTCATGCTTGTAAAACATTTGTCGGAACCTTGGTTTTCTCTTATTTATTGTGGAAAAAAAACTGTTGAAGTTCGTCTTGATAAAGGACATTTTTGTTCATTAAAACCATCTGATACAAGTAAACGAATTTAATTCATTAAAAACTTTATGTTCTTTTTTTTTTTCTATAATATTTAGTTGAATTCTTCAACGACGATTTAGGTTTTAATATTCGACGAAAATTTTGTGTAAAAGTTATATCAGTTGAAAGATTTGATACATTTGAATTAGCATTAGAAAAACATCTTTCACGCGCTTTACCAACAGTTAAAACAGTTGAATTTGGTTGTAAAATCTTACAAAAAATCTATTCAAAAGATAACGAATACGATAAATATCCAAAATTAGTTATACATATCGAACGTGTTAGTAGTCTTGTTAACGAATCTATTACACAAAATGACAATAGATCCTAATGAAATCTTTCCTTTTATTCAATTTAATGGTCAAACACCACGTGAACGTGGCTATGAACATGGTACAATCTTATCAGAACGAATAGATAAATCAATCAATATATATCGTGAACAATTTTTGAAAAATAAAAATTTTAATGAAAAATATATTTTAAATTTATGTGAACAATATCGTCGTGGTATATCATTATATTCAAATGATTATTTAGAAGAACTTGATTCAATAGCTATTTCATCGCGACAAGATCCATTATGGATAATTGCATTAAATTGTCGATTAGAAATTTTAAATCATTTATCATTTGGTATACAAAATGAATGTACAGTTTTATATAATAAAGAAACATGTCAATTAGCTGAAAATTGGGATTGGATTAAAGATTTTCAACATTTAGCATTTATTAATTATATTAAATCGAATGGAATTTTACAAATGATTGAACCTGGTGTTTTAGCAAAAGTAGGTTTTAATTCATATGGAATAGGAGTTACACTGAATTTTGTTGATCCAGTAACTATATCAACAAATCCTTCAAATATTCCATTACATATTTCATTACGTGCTGTACTTGATCAAGCAAAAACTTATGAACAAGCATTGGATATATTCAAACAAAATGGACCTGGTTTCGGTGGACATGTACTTGTTGGTATGTTAGGAAATTCAATTGAATTTTTTGTTTTTAAAAATTTATTTTTCCTAGGTGATGATAAAGGTCAATGTTGTTGTGTTGAATTTCCAGGTGATGAAGTTCATTTTATTCCAGATCATCCATATCATACAAATCATTTCTTATATACAAATAATAATAATGAACATTTTAAAAATACATCACGTTATCAAAATTCATTAGATCGTTATGAACGAGTTAAACAACTTTGGAAAAATAAAACAACATTACAATCAATTTTATTTGATTATGATGATAATCAAACATATCCAATATGTAGATCATTTGAACCAAATGATATTGGTCTTGTAGGAACAGTTTGTTCATTGATTATGAATTTAAAAGAAAGAACAATGAATATAACAAAAGGAAATCCAAGACAAAATCAAAAATTATATGAATTTCAACTTGATGAGAAAGATATGAATCAATAAATTATTGGAGTTTTTTTATTTTACATTCAAAATTCATATTCTATTTCATATGATTCTAAATAAAAATTTTAATAAATAAATTAGCAAGAATATGATATAATATTATTATTATTTTAATTTTTCTTTGTAAGTTCTAATTGTTTGAATCGTTTTGTATTTTCTACAAGAGCAATTTCTGTTGGTAATCGTTCCATGCTCGATGCTCCAAAGAATCCTTTTATACCATGTGTTCGTGCAAGAATATATTGTACATCATCAGGTTCAGCTATTGGACCACCATGACAAAGAACAATAACTTGAGGATTGATTTTAATTGAAATATCATGAATAGCTTGAATGAGTGGCACACATTCATCTAATGTATATGAAGATTTAGCTCCAATTGCACCTTTTGTAGTAACACCCATATGTGCAACGATAATATCTGCTCCAGCTTCTGTCATTTGTCGAGCTTCATCTTCATTGAATACATATGGTGCAGTTACTAAACCAATTGAATGAGCTAGACGAATCATTTCAACTTCATGTTCATAACCCATGCCAGTTTCTTCAAGACCCTGACGAAAACGACCATCCATGATGCCAACTGTTGGAAAATTTTGTACTCCAATGAAACCAGCTTCTTTAATTTGTTTTAATAATTGAGGCATCAATCGAAATGGATCAGTACCACAAACACCAGCAAGAACTGGTGTATATTTTACAACAGGTAATATTTCACCAGCCATTTCAAAAACAATACCATTAGCATCACTATATGAAAGTAGACCAGCCATTGAACCTCTACCAGCCATACGATATCGTCCTGAATTATAAACTATGAGTAGATCGGCACCACCTTCTTCAATACATTTAGCTGAGAGACCAATACCAGCACCTGAACCAATTATAATTCGACCTTCATTTATAACAGATTTAAGTCGATCTAAACATTCACGACGATTTTTTGGTTTTGACTTCTTTGTCTTCTCTTCAGCTATTTTTTTATGAGATTTATGAACTGGTTTGTATTGTATTTGTTCATGTAATGCTTGAACCATAGCATGTGCAAATGATGAATCATTGATTGATTCATCTCTTTCAATAATTTTAACTTTTGTTTTATCTACATGTTTATGTAATGCTTTAATAAGACATGCATCTGCTTGTTTATCACAAAATGGACCACCATCAACTAAACAATATTCAATATAAAAATAAATATATATATATATTTGAATCAAAAATCAATACCTGATATTAAAGAAAATCCACCACGAGGAATAAATACATGTATATGATTAGAACCATGATGTTGATTGAGTTTTTTAGCAATTATTTCACCTAGTTGAGTACATTCATCTTCTGTTGTTCTCATCAATGTTACTTGAGCATTATGTTCATGTAATAAACGATTTTTACTCGTAAATTTTTCTGGTACCGTATTACGAGGACCAAAATTAACCATATCGAGTGCACCAAGTGAAATGACTTGAGGTAATTTTTTTCGTCCAGCAATTTCTAATCGTTCTGGACCAGCTGATAGTATTCCACCTACAAGTTCATCAGCTAATTCTGTTGTCGTAATATCAAGAACACCATTAATTGAATTAGATTCAATCAAACGTTCCATAGCTCGACCACCAATACCAGTTGCATGAAAAATGACAGTATCATATCCAAGTTTTTCTAATTGTTTCTTTGCTTCCATGACACATGGTGTTGTAACACCAAACATCGTTAAAGCAATTAATGGTGGTGCTTCATCTACTGTTTTTTCTTTTGACTGAACAGTAGATTCATAATAACGTGAAGCCATAGCAGCAATAGCAACAGCTGAATTAGCTAAAATAGGCTCATTAATACGATTAATTCCACCACCAATATCAGTAACTGAATGCATTAAAGTAACATCAGTTAAACCAACAGCTGTATGAGCATTAGTTGAAGCAGCTACTGTTGATACAATTAATTTCGGTAGACCAATAGGTAATATTTTTGATTGTTGTATTGCTTCAGATACAATTGATGTACCACATGAACCACCCAAAGCAAGAATACCATGTAAATGATTTGATTTATAAAGTTCATTTAATTTTAATGTCAGACCTTTTGTCATTAAATTAAATGCTTCAGGTTTTTCTATTTTATGTTCTTTTAATGCTTTACAATCACCTCCACCAATTTCAAATATTGTTTGTGATGAAATATCAGCAACTGGTGATGTTTGTTTATTTGATTGAAGACCAACATCAATAAGTAATGTTGAACATGTACCAATATCATCGATTTGTTGTCGAATAAAATCATATTCAACACCTTTCGTATCAAACGTTCCAATGAGAGCAACTGTTGCAGTCATGTTTATATTCACTCTACCGAATGATACTTTACATATGTATATATATATATTTTTTTTGTCACGCTTCATTGAAAAATCTCATGTCTAAGCGAGATAATTGTATGAAAAATATAAACCTATACATTATAACATACATAGAGTATAAATAAATAAATAAAGAATGATTTATTGAAATTTAAACTTAACTATTTTTTAATTATCTTTATACTATAATATATATTTACTATTTATCATACAAAAAGTGATTGATATCTAGATAAACTGCCTCTCTGAACAAATCTCTCAATTCAAATGTATTCTCTTAGATAGAAATGATATACAATTTTCAAATGAATATTGACATCAACAATTTGTTTCATTATCTTCGAGTATTCTATTCTTAATCAGATATTTTAAAAATGAATTTTACGGATATTTATCATTTTCTTTATTTGTTGCTTAAAATGGCACTAAAGCCTAAAAGCAAAAACAAACAATCAAAAGTAATGATGATGTTAAGCATATCTTCTTGTTTGTATGACCATTCCAATCTGGTTCTTTTTGCTTATTGATAACCAAGATTGCCTGGTGCTACTGGTTGTAATTGTCCTTGTTGTTGAGGTGGTAATTGTTGTTGTGGTGGTTGGTTTTGTAATTGTTGAGGATGACCCATTTGTGTTGGTAACTGAAAAAACAAGAATTCAATATTCAAAAATTAAAAATTGAAAATAAATTTATTTACTGGTTCAACTTTTCGTTCTTTTGGTTCTGAGTATGGTTGTGAAATAGGTGTTTCGTCTTTTGGTTGAACAATTTGAATATGATCTGGTAATGGTTTTTTAACACCTTTTCCTTCTTTTGGATCATGTGGTAACATGATTTTACATTTAATACCAAGTACACCTTGACGTAATAAAACATGTCGTACAGCAAATTGTACATAATCATTAACGGGATCACCCGAATGAATCATTAAACCATCAATAAATTTCATTGCTTTAGCACGTTGTCCACGTAATTTACCTGAAACAACGATTTCACAACCTTGTGCACCAGATTCCATAATGAAACGTAAAACACCATAACATGCTCTAGAAAAGAACAATATGATTTTATTGTTGAAAGTTTTCTTTTCCAAAATTTACCGTCGTACTGGAAGACCACCCATAAGTTTGTAACGTAATGATTCGGCTTGAGCAATAGCGCATAAACCACGTGTAACAACTTTTTGGGCGAATAATTCGATTGAATTTTCTGGGTAACCAAAACGTTTTTGGATAACTGATGTTAATTCTCGAATACGACGACCTTTTTCACCAAGTACTGCTTGAGTTTTAGTTGCCATAATAATAATTTCTGTTCGTTGTGGTGTTACACGAATTTCAAGACCTGAATAACCATCTTCGGCTAATTCACGTGTGAAAAATTCGTTAAGTTCAGCGTGAAAAACACCTTCACGAATAAACTAAATTAATCATAAAATTTTGTCTTAACAAATGAATTGTTTTTTCTGCAAATAGATCTTTACTTTGCGTTTTTTCGAGATATTAGCTGTGCTAGCCATGTTTTTATGGTCTCGAGAATGATCTAAAATTATATTTAAATAATTATGTTTGTAATTGAAAGTATAAGATACAAAAGTAGCGATATAATAAGTACATAAACAAAAAAAAATAACTTGAATGTAATGATAGAAATAGAAGTGAGACAGCAGTAAAATTTATGGAAATCTATTGGTGAATAATTAGAACTAATGAAGGAAATATGAATTTGATCATCCACTTTATTTTAAATTGTATTTTAATGGTTTTTATGTATTTTTTCAGTTATAATATTTTTAAGACGAGAAAATGCACTTGGATTTTTTATGGAGGTCTATGGACTACAATGACTTGAGCTATCTATCAGAGTGTACTGACATCTGTTGTTTTTATTTCTACTATGATTATTTACTATTGTTATATATACTAAACCAACTTTGAAATATCAATCATTAGTAAAGTATATATTAACGATTGTCAATTATGGTTTCTAAGAAATAAATTTAGATTTTCTTTGTAACGATATTGATTATACTAATTTGTTGAATTATTTAATTAATTATTATGCAATTGACAAAATCTTGTCATCATTATTTCTTTTTTCGGAATAGAAAGTTTCTAGGTTCAGTAAAATGAACATCTAACATTATCTTAATAATGTTTTTTTATTTTTTTGATAGAATATAGATACTATAAGGATACAGAAAAAAATTCTCTAAGAAATTATTACTCAGAACTGTTTACATTATAGTGATTATGGTTCTAATACTGTTGATGACAGCAGCTGGTGTTTTTTTGTCTCCAGTATCTATAATTTTTTGTGAAAAGAGATTATTATCAATAGTAACTTTTTAGTGTCGATGATCTGAGTAACCGTTTTTGACATCTATTACCTACGTAAAATATTTAAATAAAAATATCATTAACAGAAGATCTGTATAATAAAAATTGATTCTATTTAACTATGTCAATGATAATGAATCATTAATAATTAAAAAATTGAACTTTATACTATAGATTTGAGATTACTTCGCTTAGAAGTAAAAATTAATAAATGAAAAAGTCAAAAAGAGAACAGTGCGTCGGCCGGGAGTCGAACCCGGGTCGGCTG